GCCACCGGGGAAGCGCTCGGCCCGCCTGGCTCAGGAGGTCGGACGCGTCGCGTCGCCTCGCGTTCACGGAGCCCGAAGAAGCCGGTCCTACAAAGGCAGCTGTTCCCGGTGCCGGAGCTTCCGGGGTGCGGCGCCGGGTAACCACAGACTCGCAGAATGGTTTGGGTTGGAAGGGACTTTTAGAGGTCATCTCCTCCAATCCCCTGCACTGAGCTGACGTCTGGTTGCTCAGCGCCCCGTCCATCCTCACCTGGAATGTTTTCAGGGGTGGGGCATCGACCACCTCTGGGCGTCATGGGCCAGAGTTTCACCACCCTCGTGAAAAATTTCTTCTTTGTATCTAGCCTGAGTCTTGCGGCCCAGAAAAGGGAGGAAACATGAAATAGTGGAAAACGTGAAAACAGATACAGTAAAACAAAACCACAGTAGGAAAGATATCCCAACCCACACGGAAACCAAACAGTGCCCAAAACTATGAAATCTAGAAGTCAAGGTGGTATAATACTGCCTCTTCACAACGTGAGAAGCTTAAAAAAAAACCCCAAAAACATAGGGTCCAAAACACAGCATTACTGGGAAGCTCCTAAATTTAAAAAAAAAAAACACACCAACAAACTTACCTAAAACAGGACGAAAATCCTGTCCAGAAGAATACAGAACTCCACAGATGGGATTGTAATATTTTATTAATTACATTCAATAGCCTAACAAGGTTTAACTTGCCAACAATCAGGGCTGCTCTAAGTGAAAGCTATTTGTTTCACACCACGACAATTAGCAGGCTAGTTAGTGCAGAGTAGCAACATAGTATCTTTATGATACAATTTACACCATCTATCAGAAGCAATGGGAAGAATATAGTTTTCTAGTTGCAAAGCTGACTTAAAAGTTGTACTTAAGACAACAACATCCACGTAACTCCTCAGACACTATCGAGGCAAATTTCGTGTATAAACCCCAAACCACCTAATGCCATTTCTACCCTGAAAAGAAGCAAAAGATTACAGCCTGATCACAGCTGATACTACAACAGCTGCATAGAAATTTTCCAGCAGATGGGCTACACGGTGCTATCCACGATGGCAGACATCACAAAATGAAGCTAAAGTTAAGGGTTTGATCAAATAAAAGCTAGTAGTGCATCTATCGGTTTTGGTGGCCAGACTGAAGACTTCTGGGGAAGAGTGCTGATTGGGTTCACTGGTAAAATCAGATACATAGTTTGATATTCAATGAGGGTGATGTGTACTGATGCTGCACTCAAAAAACCCATTTCTGTAAAGGCTACACATAATAGGGAAGCATTATTCACAGAAATAAATGATGTGTAAAAAGAACACTTATCATTTGATAAAAAAAACCCATTATTTTTCTTAGCTGACTGCAAAATACAAGTGATTTAAGTCCAGCAGTTGATCAAAGTAACTTCTTTCTTCTTAGTGTTTGCATAGTAAATTAACCACTACGTGTTCTGTTATTACACTGAAGAGTTGACAGTTGATACATTTCTTTATTCAATTCCTTTTGTTTTCAGTTCTGTCCGAACCCGTTGCAGATAGTCAGGATCAGGGTAACCAAAACTACAAGAAGAAGAAAAAGAATCACTTGGGCTACTTCTGCAGTGAAGCACTTGACAGTCCTACAGAACCTTCTCATCAAATTCTCTTCAAGCACTTTACAAGTGTTACACACTTCTTACTCTACAGAGAAAACAGACCCTGTTTTGCAAGTCAGAGAGGTGGTACAGACAGATAAATTAAAGATTTAAAAGATTTAAAGATAAATCTTAAGAAATTGTTGAATTTGATTGGGCAAGCTAAGAACTGATTTTCAAAGCTGCAGACTTACCTGAAAATGATGGGGTGCTTAAGTATGCATCTTTCTAAAAATCAGACCTGAAGTGTGTTCAAGTGAGCATTCAAAATAAGAATGTAATGGCACCTCTGGATTTTAAGTAGTGTGCATGAAGAAGTAAGTGTATGAAGAAGTAAGTGTATGAAGAAGTAAGTGTATGAAGAAGTAAGTGTATGAAGAAGTAAGTGTATGAAGTGAGTATGAAGCCAATGGTAATGAGGAAGAGCATTTAGGTGTGGGCAGAAAGGTATCTTTTAAAGAACTCTTTTATGATCCCAGCCCAGGAAGGAGGATCTAGACACAAATCTTTAGAGCTTCCAGGAAGACACCTGCCCATGGGAAGCTGCAACAAGCTTGAAAGCACTGTTCCAGGCCTCCCTTCTGGCTCCTTAAGACTTTTTTTCCAGGTTTTCCCTGTTTACTGATGTAATCTGTAGTTCCTCATATCTTTAGGAATGGTCAGTTGTATGTGCACTAAGGGGTGGAACACAGTGGTCATGACCAGAAGACCATGATACGTTGAGGAAATAACGATCCACGTAAGAGGTAACTGGGGCAGGGCCAGGTCTGCCCCACACTTCGCTGCCTGACGGGCTCAGCCAGCTCATGCCGTACTAGTAGTTTCTACTCAGAGCAGCTACTAACTGAGTAGGTGCTTTACACAACTCACTGGTGAATGATTGGCCTGAGGAGCAACAGAAGATGAAGCTCACCCTTGTTGCAACTGACCAGATTGGTGAGGGTGATTCAAGTCTGGATACATAGAGTGTTCCACAGTCCCTTTGTTAGTGACAAAGTCCAAAAGCTCTAATGTGAAAAATATTCAGGGTACCCTTCCTGAAACATCTGAGTAGCAATAAAATTACATAAAGAGAAGACTACTCACTTAGTAGGTCCTCCAGTCGTGGCAGTTTTGTGGTGGATATCATTCCACGTGATGACATCTTGCACACCAGTAGTATGTGACTGCCCCACCGTGAAAATCAATTTTTGGTCAAAGGCTTTTCTGAGGAGCTGCAGAATTTCTTGCCCTTCCCTGTTGTCAGGTAAATATGCTCTTCGTGTAGTTCCAGCATAAGGTCTCCCTGGGTTTGGGTGGTTTCTCTATTTTGTAGAAGAACAAAACCAAGCCACATTGTATATGATAAATGCTCTGAAAGTATATCCCAGCTTTCATAATACCTTTTATCCCGTCTGTGATTCAGAAGGACATAGCATGATTGATGACTGGTTTTGAGGTAGTTTATATGTGTCTCATTCACATTTTCTTGTCATCGCTTCGGCACCCATTGTTAAATTTGGTTTTTCCTCTTTGCTCTCCCACATGCATGTCACCCCACCCCTGACTTTTTCTTTTATCCCATTTTCAGTCCTAGTTGGGACTCTAAGCACATGACATGAGCTGATCTCTCACCTGGGAACTTTACAAGCCAGCCCACTATTTATTTTTTTCCTCTGCTGTCAGCAGGCAGGAGAACACCTCAGAGAAGCCTCACTGTATTAGCAAACTTTTGTTCATATGATATAAAATGGAGGGCTATCAATTGGTTATTTAATTACTACTATACTACTTAATCACATCCAAAAATATTGAATTTGTACGGAACAAAGACATATCTCTCCTGGACATGGATTAAAATGACAGAAAAATATTTAATGGTATATTCACTATTGGTTTTGTTGTGGGAAAAATATCTTTTATGAATCTTTAAATATACTTACAGTTTGAATGCCACTGTAGATAGTGTATGTAATCACAATAGTGCCACAGTTGGGATAACCAGGGAGAGCTGAGTGTTCTACCCTAGTTGACATGGTTCCCTCTGGCTGGTCTCCTTCCAGGAGCCCATAGACAGTGTTACAAAGAGGACAGGCATTCTTATAACTCATGGCTTGGTTGATGCAACTTCTGCAAAAGGCATGATTGCACTTTCTCAGTATTTTTTTATCATTAATTGTCTCCATGCAAATTGGACACATATATTTGTTCTCTTCTTCTGTTTTTGCCTTACTCTGTCCTTCAGAAGAAAGATTATGCTTTTGTCTGTTGTTGTATTTCTTCTCAAATGCTCCTGTAGCTTCTTGATACCTGTGAACAGAGGACAAGGGCATCTTGGTTTTAGTTTGTGCTGAGTCTTCTATGCTCAGAAGATTCATGATGTGCTTTTCAGCAGCAGAAAGATGGTTTGGTAAACCACTTAAGATGAATTTGTCTTTCTTCTTCTTGAGTTTTACATGCAGGTCTTCCAATTGTTTTCCACTAAGCAGCATATTTAATCTTTTCTTCTGATCTTCTGACAGCTTTGAGCTGATGAGAGTTTCTCTTAACATTGCAAAGGCACTCTGAAATGCACTGATGAAACTTTCAGTAGCATGTGAAGACATATCAGGAGTTTCGATCCTAGGCCTAAATATTATGAGCATATTCTGGCCACATGAACTATCTTTCTTTTCTATTATTGTATCAAATTTGTCTTTAATGTCTTCAATTTCTTTGCTCAATATTGTTTCTAACAATTTAAACACGGAAGCATCAACTGCAATTCCATTCCTGTATTTGTACAGTTCAGATGATATTTTCACATTCTTTTCAGCTTGGCTTTTCTCCCCTTCCTCTGCTAGAAATTTTTTGGCAGCTAAAATCTCAGTTGCTGGACCTCGGAGTAGCAACTGTTTCTCTTCCTCTTTGGCAAGAAGGTTACTAAATCTAGTATTTAATTTCATTATTGTCTCATTTAATGTGTAACTCTTTGCTAGGGGAATTTTTTCCTGTTTCAGATTTTCTACACTTTTCTGAAAAACTCTGATAAAAAAATCGTTAGCTTCTTGTATTGATGCAGGACTTTTATCAGCAGTGAAGCATATTGACGTATTTCCGCTGCTATGATCTTCACTTCTGATACGCACTCCAAAACGCTGATGCAGCACTTGGATTTGTTCTTTGCAGGCATGACTGAAATACTCATAGAGAGCTGATGGAACTGTAAGCTCATTCATTTCTTCAGTATTCAGATCATTTTCATCCTTTAAACCAGTCTTACTTTCAGAATGTGAAAGATGAGGGTTTGGGCCACTGTCTTCAAGGATATCCTTAAAGTAGTGATAAGCTTTTTCAATATCTGTAAAATCTCCTGTCAGTTTCTCAGAGCCATGGACACCAGGATTTCTTTCTCTTTTTAAATTTGGACATATAATAGTAATTTTCTCCCTGTCCCGTTCAGTGAACATACTGGTGTTCAAAGTTGCAGATACTGTAAGAAATATCTAAAGAGAAGAGAAGAAGATACCAATATTTGTTTTTTTTCTAAGGCTCTCTGCTTGCTGCTTCTACATTTTGAGTAAGGAAAAGCTCTGTACACGTCAGCAGGGCCAGACCACTATCGACACATCTGCACACAGTTTCCTTTATGTCACGTATACCCACCTTACACACACATAAGTAAAGAAATCTGCTTCTGAACCAGCAGCAAAGATTAGTTTTGTTAATGTCCTCAGTGTTGCAGGGAGACAGCAACTTGGCTACTCAGTTTGAGGCTGTGACCCATACCTGACCCTGGGTAACATGGTTCGTGTAACTGACCCCATTTCATAAGGCAAAGGGCCACTCTCTGTGCCTGAGCTGGTCACCTATCAGTCCCTTTTCCCCTCACTATCATGCCTGGGACATCCTCTGCACCAAGCAGAGGAAGCAAAGAGATTTCTTCTTCCCTTCCCTATCATCCACAAGGTTCCTGGGCACAATGCAGACTACTCCCCTCCTTACTGGCCTTGAAGGCCCCAGGCACCCTGCCAGCTGGGTGGTGAGGAGCCCGGCATAGGACAGGGAAGCGTCAGAGCCCACACAGCACTGTCTGCAGCATCACATGGAGCCTGAGCTGCCGCTGGACAGCGAGACGTGATCCCCTGAGGGCCAGGGACACCTTCACCTTCCTTGGGAGACTGAATGAATGACTCATATTCTTTTGCGTGTTTTTTTTTAATCTAGATTATGACTGGTAATGGTACGACAAGCCGACTATTAAAATTTGACATAATCTGCAGAAGGTTCAGGTGATTAGAAACCATAAACTAAGCTGTGCTAGAAAATTCAGTGCTACACTACTTATGAAACTGTACTACACTGATCCTGCTTGTAGGAATCTTGTGCTATTCTGATCATTAATTCTATGCTATGCTAATCATAAAATCCTGTTAAAAAAAAACCACAAAACTTTAATTTTAATTGCAACTTAGTGCCACCATCATTCTGCTAAGGATCCCCAAAAGAACCTCTCTGTCCCATTAGTGTCCGGTGACAGAGACAATGTGTTTGAACAGCACATATAAGTCATATTACATTGTTCTTTAGTTATACTAGATGTTCTGGTTTTCTCCTATCTTTCTTTCAAACATTTCCCAAGACAACAAGATTCTGAAAAATAATTATAGCAAGCATATTCCCATCTCTGCTTTCCACAGACAGAAGGATAGGGAAATTTGCAGTATTTGGCTACAGATGTCAGATAACCTCTGCATTAGCACATGCAATACCTCAAAAGCTGCATCTCTGCTACCACTCTGGGCCACACACCAGTGTCGTGGCAGAGCCACATCCACATCCTGTAACATGTAGCCTGGCCCTGCCCCATGTCCCTCACACACAGCTGACCTCTGCTGCATGACTTTTAGTTCCAAGTGTCCGAGATAACGTTTGCTGTGCTACATCACATCAGTGCAGATTTTTTAACACCGAGGTAAGGGATGGAAGTAATTAGGGCTGTCTGAAGGTGGGAAACATGGTGATATACTGTGAGAGGTCTGAGCAGCAGGAAGGGATCCAAATCTCACAGAATTTTTCCACATTTTGGGAGCAGTCCTTGGTGCAAACTATCCCCCGCAAGCTGCCAGGGTGCCACTTTGGGGAGCACTGGTTGGCTCGTGCCAAAGCCATGCTACAGAACATGCTGCCTGTTAACAGGTGTGAATGACCTCCAGTCCACCACCCAAACGTCACTCCCCGCCCCATTTTACTGACTCAGGTAGCATAACTGATATTTGTTTGGCATGAAATATTTAAGTGCCACATAAAGCAACGCAAAGGGTTCGTAAAACTACAAGCAGGGAGGTCGTGACACTGCTTGTTACTGTGTCTCCTGAAGTACCTTGTCGGTAATGCCTTCTCTTGCCTTGTCTCCATGGCCTCTGGCTGCCTGCGGCTCCTGCTGAGGCGGGGAAGCGCTGGAAGGGATGGAGGAGCCGGGGGAGGCCTGCTCCGTAAGCGGGCTCTTGCTCAGGGCACCTTCTCCCTTCTGGATGACTATCCTGAGGCATCTGTCCCCAGTTTCCAAGACGTGATCCGTGCGGGACTCCACGCTCCTCTTATCTGCAATCATTTGAGAGAGACGAAGCCGATAAAGACACCGGGAAACCCGACGGCTCCGAGCGGTGCAAAGACCCCCCGCCCCTCGCCCACGCTCCCCGGGGGTGCA